TTTATACTTCTTTCTCGGTCTCATCACCAAACAAGTGCAAGTCAAACAATGACTGTCAATTACCTACAACATAATATAACAAAGACTTTGTTGATAAGACAAACTAAAAATCAATCTTTAAGTCCGTCTACATGCCTATCGCTCTTGATGATCGTGAAGGCCGGTTACTAACATAAAGAGTGCATTCCAAAGTACAGTCGAGAGGAATGAGATTCGTTAAAAGGGCTGCTATTACGACAAAGCTCGAAGAAGATCCAAACATGGCAGTTAGATCTGCCATCGAATCGCCAATGACACATTCCTTCTCCATATCAAGAAGTCACAATGGGGAAGACTGGGACACGTGATCAGAATGCCTTATGAGGGCCATTTTAGTCAAGACGGACACTCAACGAAAATGTCATACATCATGTCGCTGAGTAGCAGACCAAAGACCAAATGGCTCGAAGATACAGAAAGTGTCCCTGTAGTACCCTAAAAGCCAGACCTTGAAATTCCCCGAATTGCTAGAAGAACAAGACCATTGGAAAAGCTGCTACGGTAGACATCTAGCGGTTGGCACAACACATTAAAAGGAGAATCCTTACCCGGTTCAGCCAGTAATGATAATAACTGAATATACTGGCATTACTTTAATGCATTACAGAATTTCTGCCATGAACTAAAATATAAATTTACGATTTGCATTTTGTACTGATGAACGATCAGCTGTCACAGCCATAAAGCTACCACCTGCGCATCAGTCACCATCAGTTTTTGCCTTTAAGCTGAGATATACATCATCAAGAAGCGAAGGTATCACAATGTCGTCAATCTGCTACCTTTTTCTCGGTTCGATGCACGATGCACAAGCAAGTAAGTCAAGCATTCATTCACTCACTCAGTCCGTCAGGTTCAATCAGTGAAATTTAGTCAAATGAACACTAAGAATACAATAATTTGCGGCAAAGCTGGATATAACAACTGAACAAATACAAAACAAACAGTGTGAAAGTGGATCTCGCGGGACGATCAGAGCGGAAACAAGTGAAGTCCTCCAAACGAGGATGTTATTATCGTTCGCGTAGCATCGCCAAGAATCTTGCAACAGAATAAAACTGATACTGCTGAAATAAAGCATCGTGAGAAGTGCCCTAAGCAGGCAACTTCGGAAGGATGTTCTGTAATTTTTTGAAATAATGATTTTAAGGCTTTTGGCGAGTGCTTTTAGCAGCATTTTGCCATCCACCTTTTCTGCAATGTTTGATCTTCCGAATGCTTCAACAGTTTGTCAAAGAAAGAACCAAGAACAAAGCATCAAGAAATTCAGGGGTTGGCACGCGCCGCAACTGAATGCGCAAGACACTGACATTCAAGAGGGACAACTGGCTTTTACGGGAGACTTTACGGGCCACAGTCCCCAACTAACCTCCTTTCACATCTCGGCATGGGACCGGCAGCCGCGGAATTCACAGTGAAGGTAATTCCCTTCTTAAAGAAATTGGGAGTTAATAGAGCAATCGCGACCGGCACCTCGAGCAACCACGGGGTCGATGGCCTCTACCATAGTCGAGACACTTCTCCCAAGAACTACAGAACAAAATCTTGATTACCTTCAGCAATATCTCGAAATTTCTTTTCGGCATCTTTACTCTTGTTCTTGTCCGGGTGATACTTGTAAGCCAGCTTACGGAAAGCTCGTTTGATGTCGCGATTCGACGCGTCGCGGCTCACTCCCAGTCGCTGGTAGTAGTCCTGCTCCGCATAGGCACACAACGACAGCAAAACATCAAAAACTAGGAAAATTTTAAACCACATTATTATTCGGTTTAAACCAGTGATAGCACAGCATCAGTGTTTCAGCCAATATTATCCTGACGTAACGTTACATGATTGTCAATAGCATCCCACTCATTGCATCGGCGGTAATTACAATAAGTAAAATGATTTGCAGGTATTTATTAAAAGGTATTGAAATCAATCACAGTCATTTGCTTGAATAGGATCAAGATGGAATCAGCATTTTATCGCTGAACTGTTTCGACGTTTAACTGAATTATGGCGTAACTATATCTCGACGTGATATGCAGATCAGCACTGCCCAAATATCGCAGCATTCCAACTGTCAATGATATACCCGTACAAGACTTCCATCCTTAGATTTGCTTGCTCAAAAAAACAAAACATTAAACGATATCGTACGTGAGAAACTCACTTCCACCGAGCGCTACATGACCTTTAATTCCAAAACTCCCACGTCCATAAAAGCAGGAGCGTATAAAACGTTATGCCTCCGGAATATAGAGCTCAACGGGGACATCTGCTCACTCCAGCAGACGAACAGCAACCTCATCGCTGAACTGAAGAAAAATTGGTATTCAAAAGTTTCATCCGTAAACAGTTCAAGAAAGTGAACTGGAAACTGAAAAAAAATCCGAAACTTAATGGAAACGGCAGCAAACAAAATAAACTCATCTTCCCTCCCTTTCTGACCATCCGGTTTCAAGTCAGCCTAACTGCAAGAGTAAAACTTTTCATTATAAGCAAGTACCACGCTCTTTTGAACCCAAAGCGCAGTTCTGAGTTCGCTGTATACAAGGAGATTTTTATCGAACCAAGAGGACAGCAGAATAATATACCAGATAAAGTGCATGTGAGAAGAAAGCATCTTAGAAGAAACCGGTAAGAAACTGAAAAATAGGGTCAGCTAACTTTGAGCTTGTCTTCACAAAACAGGTG